GTCCAAACGGTCTTCATACCCTGAACGCTGGTAGTTCGGTCGTGGGTTCGCGCCTCGCTCGGACGGGCTGACCACGTGGAGTTTTCCGGGTTTTCTCCAGGTCTATAACGCCTAAATAAGTTTCCCTTAAAAAGGCATCCCCTAGGCAGATCGCCCAAGTGTTGCGTTGCCATAACTTAACAAACAGAAACTTTATTTTGCTAATTGCTCTCGTTCTTACATATAAGATGGTTTAAATTTTCATTACAGTCGAAAAACATAAATAAAACGTCATAAATAATACCATGACCAGAAATTTGTTTTAAAAAAAGACTAAAAAATAATCTTTGTAATTCAGTTTGATTCGATCTTGCAATGCTTATGCTTGTGGATGCGGACTACGGAAGATTACCCAAAAGTCAGTTTAATCGAAATATGTGTTAAGATTTTTTCAGGAACACCAAAATCGGCATGGAACAGTTACAAGTTACCTATCTAATTCATTGCTTTGAATGAAGCAACGGGAATCAGAATAATCAGAAATTATTCGTGAGGAATTTTTAAATCGTTAACAGCAAAAATTCATAACGTGTTCTTTCATTGATGTACCGTACCCACATCTGGCCGAATGAATCAAATCTGTGAACATTACTATTCGATCGCGGGTTTGCGCCTTACCAACGGTCTTATCATGTAGTGTTTTCCGGGTTTTCTTCGTGTGTCTAAAATCTCAAAAGGGATCAGTCCTCCTCCCAAATCCCTATTGAGGACAATCTGCCAAAAAGGGGCGCTTCTCTTTTGGCAGATTGCCCAAATGGTTCAGTCAATGAATCAATTTTATCTTACCTTTTCATTGGTTATTACAGTAATTTTCACTTTCTTATTAGAACTTATCCCAATGAATATTTATTGGTAATCAAAAAACTAGAATATAATTATACATTTAAAATTTTAATGCTATTAATCTCCCATATTAAAGTACTTGCTGTGAGCCCGGTTTTTCTGGGGCTTTCGAGGGGGTGGGCCGTCAATAGGTGTTGACTGTATATAATATAATCATACAATAATATAAACAATTTACAATATAACATATTATATTATATATTAGTCTTTCCTGGCTTCATGAATTTGTCTTAGCATTGTGAATTACCTAACAAGCATACATACATATTTTGACTTTTATGTACTGTAAAGTACAGTACATAGGTAACTATTACACTATAGTATAATGATAAATATTAATATTTATTCAAACAATTTGGTATGAATCAGATATAAAAAATAAAACGCGCATAAGTAGTTCTTTTCAAAATACAGACGATAAAATCTGAAAGATTTTAAAATAGCTCAACGTAGATTGGATGAAGACACGTTTGCTGTACTGTAATAGGTTAAAAAGAAAAGTAGGCAGAGTTATTTCCATTCAGTTCCTCCAATCAATTGCCACTATCAGCATTTACTCGTTAGTTTGGCGTCGAATCGCAAATATTAGTGAAGTGACAAGTGAAGATTTATATTGAAATTCAGCTCCCCTTGCAAAGAAAATACAAAGAAGATAATTAAGATTTGTCAAACTTTAAAATTATGTAAGACATTTTCAAAACTTAGTTCAAGAAAATTTTTTTGCACTACATTTTTTAAGGTTAATTTTAAGTTAATCTTTATTTTTATTTCATCTGCAAAAGATAATATTAGTTGATAATATACTTTGAAATTTTATAAAACATTTATCATTTTTTTTAATCCTAAATTTTCTGTCTTTTCCAAATATTAAAATAGAAAATGACAGCATTAACTGTCTTTAATGATTAATGATGTAAAAACTCACGACTTTAAATTGTTATTAAAATTTTTTAAAATATTTTAAAATATTTTAAAAACTTGGAGTTTTGGATTTTTTTATATAAATTTTATAATATAATTAAGAAGTTCCTTTTATATAATTATTAATAAGTCACTTCTTATTTAAATACTGACAAACGAAAAACTCTAGGAATCATCGTTCTCCACAATACAGAATAATCTTCGGAATAGTTTAAATTTTTTAGTTTTTTGTGAAAATTTTTATCAGTTTTTTAGCTTAAGTTTCGTTTAATATAGCATTTACGAGACTGATTATTTAAAACTTATATAATATTTTTATTCTAACTTATGAAAAATCTTTCGTCACAGTTATAAAATCATAATTTTCCTGGTTTTATTCCCGTTATCGGTATTTAAATAATAACTATAATATGTAGTAATCAATTAAATAACGCTTACGAAACATCTACCAAGAATGTGGTACGAGTTTTATGTTTAAAATACAGTACCAATAAGTTTATATAAATTACATTTGTAACGTTTATTAACTATTATACATATAAGATACATTATTAAAATGTACAATTTGTGATTCAGTGTCATTATTTTCTGCTTTAAACAGCAGAAAGTTGTTATCACTACGATGAATACCGAATGAAATGATTTGGTTCTGACTATTCGTTAAAGTTAGACGGATCTTAAAAGTCTGCTATTTCGTTAATCTGATTGGTCGAAGGCGTGTCTATTTATAGTGATAGGCGGGATTATCGTAAATTCAAATCCAATAATGATTTAAATTGCAAAAAAGTTAGAAATTAACACCAATCGCATGTAACTTTAAAGTTAGTGAGTAAGATTTAGCTTCCATTTTGTACGACAGATATTTTAGGACTTTAGAGTCCATTAAAGTATTTGACATTTATTTTTATACTTTTTACTTTTTAAAAATTATACAGAAATTTTCTCAAAACATTTTATAACTATTAGAATCTGTTAAAATAACACGATCATTATAACATTTATTAACTAAGGCTGAGTGCAGTTGAGGCATTGAGCGTTGGTGATTGGTTGAAGATCATCATTCGTCACAATTATGCTAATTAATAATAGGATGTATTCGTTATGTTAGAATAGTGAATCTTATTACGTCATTTCATACTTCCCCACTACGAAAAAGTACGAAAGATGGAGGATAGAAAAAGGTTTGTTCTAATTTTCAAGGAATTTTTTTCTATGGAAATTAGATTATTTCTATAGAACATTCGTTAGAATAGCTTATCACATATAAAGTGGGAACTTGATTTTAAAAAATATATAAATATTTATATTTATTATTTACTTGAAATCACAAAAATTCTATTTGAATTACGAAATTCATACATTTCTTTTATTTAACTGAATGTAATTACATTTTATAAGATGTTACGTTTACAAAGATTAAAATTTCATCAATATTTTCTCATATTTAACTCATTATATATACAGATGCTAGAGAGAAATTAAATTAAGCAGAGATTCCCAAGTTTATGTTCTCTTCATACCTCGATTTCTTGCTTCGCCACGTATTCAAACATTCCGGATATCAAAATTAATTTAAATAAATTGTCATATGAATAACTAATTTATAAAGTAGAAAATGGATTTATTAAAAATGAGTAGAGTTAATTATTCGAGAGAAATGTAATAAAATTGTTTAAAAGTTTAACATCCAGACAAATTGACAGACGTGAAAAAAAAATCAGTTAATTAAACGAAAAACTTGGATTAATTGTCATATAAGAATAAAGAAATTTTAATATTATTTACACTAAAAATGTTATAAGTTAAAGAATTTTTAATATTTCGTTGATAAAAATTAATAAAAATAAGAAAATAAGGAAGTAAAAATATTTTTATAATGTTTTTCGATTTTTTATTTTATTTTATTATTATAAAACTAGAAAATATATCCGTTTATCATTGAAGAATGTCTTCGAGTTCTTTCAGTAGAATCTATATAAAAAGCAAATTCTGTTAGATATAAATATATTGAATAATCTTTACGGACCAGCTGTTGGTTAAGGAAAGCGTGAAATTAAAATTTTAAAAGAACTTTTTACAAAAATTATATTCCATTTTCTCTTCTTCATAATTATAAAATGAACAGGATTAAATTTACATCTTCATTCCTAAATTAAAGTTTGTTTATTAAAAAATGCTAAAATTATGTTTAATTTTATTAGAAAATCATTGATAAAAAGTTAAGTCTTAAAATATTTTTTACAATTTTCTAAAATTAAATAACTAAAAAAGTTATTTTTATACTTAATATTATACTTAAAAATTACTTATTAATTGATAAAATCTCTAAAAATTAGTACAATTATGAACAGTAAAATTATATTTTATTAGAAAATAAATGTAAATATTCATTTTTAAAGGTTAATTTATGTTAAATTCTTTTTAAATTATTTATTAAAATCTCTTAAAAACACAAAAGTCTTTAAAATTTTATTTAAATTAGTTTAATCATAATTAGTGTAATATTAATGAATTTTCAGAATTTTTAACGCAATTTGTTTTAGAATTTAATTCATGTCTAATGTTACTGAAAGTTCTAAATATGTAAAATTTCTAAGAAAATTGCATACGTATGGCAAGCATCTTTATAATTTTTTTTGAAATTCGAATAAAAATTGAGAATCTTAATACAGTATATATTTTTAATGTAGTTAATTTAATTAATGTATAAATTTATAATTTTTCTAAATTAAAAAAGTGATGACTTAGGGCCAAAGTATAAGAAATTTGTTTTAGAAAGTCTTCCAATTAAGAAGAGTTACGAGGTTAATTTATGTTAAATAAAAAAGTAAAATATATTTAATAATGATTAAATCTTTAGAAAAATAAAAAATAAGGTACAATTAGTTGGAGACGATTAAAAAGTTCTAAAAATTCGATTGATATTTCTTAAGTCCTCGTAAATTCAAGAAATTAATTAGAAAATTAATTTTTTAAGCCTTAATAAAAACTTGCCTTAATTTAATTGATAGAATAAAATAAAATAAAAAGTTAAAGAAGAACAAAGGAGGATATTTTTTTATTTATTGAACTAATTTTATTGTTTTCTAAAAGTATATTAAATGACAAATTTAAAGATAATTACCAGATCTTTTGACATTAAATAAATGAAAATTACCTTTTATCTAGGGAATTCAATTATTTTAAACGATTGTAATTAGGAAAAAACATTTTGGGAGTTTTTTCAGATATTTGAAATCCTTTTTGAAGTTTTATTTTTTAAAAAAGAAACTTTCTTTGAAAATATCACCAATAAATACAGCAAAACCCGTGTAAATCGGAACCGGTTATACAGGTTTTACTGTATAACCGATAAACGATACTGAATATTCTTTTCCGGTTTGGCAGGTTTCCGTTTTGAACAGGTTTTCGTTAATATAATCCGTTTTATGAAGGTTCCATTTTGTACAAATTACTTCTTTAAATTACTTTTTTGTCTCACTTTCCTTAGAAATTAAATTAAATAGTTTAATAAGCATTCTATTAATCTTCTAATACAAAACTTAATCGGATTTTCATTAAAAAGAAAAAAAAAAAGAGTCACGCGGCTCGACGCGACGGGACGTGACTCGTCACATCGTTCGTAAGCTCTGCGAAGGTTTTAAATTTTTACTCCTCGTGCGAGTGGTTAAATTGGTGAGTAAACGCATTACTTAATATATGAATTGAGGAGTGGTGTTTATTCTAAATTTATTTATTAGTTTACGGCAATTTTTTGAAATATTAATATATTGAGGTGCTTGTCGCGCTTAGCGACGCGAACTCGAATCAGAAATGTCTACAAAATCAGGGATATTAGCAATTTATCTGTATTATTTTTTCTTTAAGAACATTTATTGTTTTTAAAATATTATTACTTTATAGAAATAAAAAAAGGAATGGATAATTAGTTCTCTAAATTATGAAATTGTTATATGACGCGAAGAGGAGCGGCGCGCGGCGCGATCGAACCTGTATATTCTTTACAATAAAGTGCGAAATTTAAAAAATAAAATTATATTATACAATAGTAGGAAAGAATTAGTTGTATTTTTACATGTTATATAATAATTGAACGAAAATAAATTAAACGACAATACAGTTTGGCAATCTTTTTCCGGTTTTACTCGATGGCGTTGCGTCGCGCGGCGCCAATTATATTATTGACGATACACAAACTATTTTGTTATTTTTTAATAAAAATACCCAAAACTTTTTCACAATTCTATACAATATAATAGAAAGAATAAAATAATGGTAATATTATATAAAAGTTAACCTAATATACCAGCGACGCGTCAACGCCAAAACAAATTTATTCCTATAAATATCTTGTAGTTTTGGTTGAAAAATCTAAAAAAAAAATTACTTAAAAAATTGAATTATAATATAAATAAATAAATGAAATATTATAAAAATAACCTTTATCGTGAAATTCACGCCCTTATATAAACCATTGTTTCAATTTAACACGTAATAATTTTAAGAAAATGTTACTTGATATTATAATTTTTATGACCTTAACGCACGAAATTCATTTTCCTAGTAAATTCGATAAGAACAGGAAGTTTAATTACGTCATATTTACCACTTCCTTAAAGTTTATCACCTTAAAAAGCTAAAAAAATGGGTCGCTTATAATTCAATTTGAAAGTATAAAACATTAACAAGTGTATATAGGAACGAATTTTACGTCATAACAGACTATGTCAAGGTCACCTTGAACTTTTACTTTCAAAATAATTTCTATTTTTTGTCATTGTTTCCGAGAAGAAGAATCCATAAACAAATATATCTATAGAGGTAACAACTATGCTAGTGTTCTTGTGTAAGTTTCTATTGATTTTAGGTAAGTGTTAATTTATAATATATTGATACTATTAAAGCCACAAGTTGTTGATAAATAATAAAACTATCATTCAGATTTTTTGATTGACAGAAACCTAGCAAATGGCAAAAAAGATACGACAAATCCTGTCGAGAACACGTGTTTGCTCTGCATCTGCCAGGTAATTCAAGGTTATTGTTATTGTTATTGTTATTTTAAGTTAATATTTTAAACTTATAATTCCAAATAAAATTCTTGTTTCTTTATTTTATTGGCTTTATTCCAAAGTTAAATATATTTTAACATTTATCGGCATTTATCTGACGTTTACATCCGTCAGATTTAATTTATAATTCCTAGCTTCTGTTTATTTAAAATATAATTTTTTTAAAAAAAATGAAATATGTTCGTATTTAACTGTTTATAAAAAGCAACAAATTATTCAAGTTTTTTGATTTTCTAACGATTAATTAAGATTCAAAATGGTCTATCATTCATTCACTTTAACATTATTGATTATTAAGTTAATGATGCTGAATTATTCCACACTTCAGGATGATGATTAATTATTTTATTGATGATGATGAATTATATAAATAAGTACGATGATAAACGCTTAGCTTTTCAATGATAAGCGATTATTCAAATGAAGTTGATGATCATTCATTCTAGACGCGAATGATGCGTCAATTCGTCTTCTTGATCATTCATTTTAGTCACAGGAGATGCTTCAATCAATGCTGTTAAAGATGATACATCGCTTAATTTAGCTGATGATGCATTAATCGTTCTACTCAATGCAAATGGAGGCCCCAAAAACAGTATATTTAATGTACAGTACAGATATTCATTGCTCGTGTCTCGATAAAGGCAAAGAGGCCCTCTTGTTTCTCTTGCACTAGACCTCTAGTACCTTTGAAAGGGCCTAGTTCTTTGATAATGATTAATTAATTAAGCGAAAAAGCTGATTGGGTTATTCTAATTAAAGATGACCTTTTCTATAATTAAAGACTTCATCTTCATTTGTGACTTCTACACAAATTGAACTGAAAATTGTTTTATTTTATAATGTAATGATAATTAGAGAAGAGTTAAAATATACAAAAAATGAGACTATTCTTTTATATTTTTAGGCTCTAACTAATTGTAATCCTCTTGAAAAATGTGAACCTGGTGATAAAAGATACGGACCATGCTACATTACAGAAGAGTACTGGAACGATGCCGGACGTGAAGGAGAAGGTAGGAATTCATTTTAATTAGTGTCAAATATATTAAAAGTATAATAAATTTTATTTGTTTAATAGAAAGGGAGGATAGCATTTTTCCCTCCTATTAAATATTGCTTTTAAAACAGCAATTTTAAAAGTAAAGCCTGTAGAAAAACGCCAGTTAAAGTATTTTTTATAAATATAAGTGGTTCTCTGTGATAAACGTAAGATATATTGAATAATTGATTTTAACAATGATTGATTAGAAACATATTCGTTTCATTATAATAGTATATACTATTACGTCAATTTTACGTCATTTTAGTATTTGTCATTATAAAATCTGTAGGAGTGACGTCGAATTGACGTAAAAATGTACTGTACTGTACTGTACATTTTTACGTCAAATAAGTTCTGTTTCGAAGTACTGTACATTAATTAAGAAATTGATGAATTTAACACTTATTTATTTTTACATTAATCAGTAATCAATCTTTTATGCCTGATATTGTTTTACGTGGTAGAATATTTTAAAATTAAATTTTGATATCTAAAAGACATCTTTTGGAAAACTTTAAAATGACATAAAATTGACGTAATAGTATATACTAGTATAATGAAACGAATACTCAATAAAGTCGGTAATTTTATTCATAATTGTTCCAATTTAAGTCTTCTTATAACAACTAAAGGACTGTTCGATTGGTTGGAATAGTGTACATTTTTACGTAAATTTGACATCATCTTTTAGAATTTCTCATTATATAATTGAAGCTATGACGTCAACTTGACGTAAAAATATACGTTATTCCAACCAATCGAACAGAGCAAGTATCCAAATTTTAAAGAAATTCAATAAAATATTTTAAATAAAAAATTCTAAATTTTTCTAAATATTGTTATACTAAAGTTTCTTGCTATAACATGATATTAAAAATGTATACACCTCACTGGTCTGTCCGTCACGCTATACATTTAAAATAATACAAAAAATATTAAATTATTTTAATATAAAATGGACATTCGTTAATATAGTTTTCATGTATGTTCTGTGAAAAACAGCCACAGATAAATGCATTACCAATTTTACCGTAAGTATAGTAACAATATAATTAATGCACTTAAACTTTAAAAACTGATTAATACTCAAGTGGCCCAAAATTAGATAACCACATTTTTTTTCAAACAATTCTGAAATTTTCTGAACCTGTGTCAAAGCATTGTAATTTTATACTTTAAACAATTTTTTCAAATTTTATAAGCATTTGAATAAGACAGAAATTTAAACTGTTTAACTGACTTTTGGGCCACTCCTGTACGTTTTTATTTATTTAAATATTTTACTTTTAATTTTATAATAAGACAATTCTATAATTCAGATTTTTTGATTGACAGAAACCTAGCAAATGGCAAAAAAGATACGACAAATCCTGTCGAGAACACGTGTTTGCTCTGCATCTGCCAGGTAATTCAAGGTTATTGTTATTGTTATTGTTATTTTAAGTTAATATTTTAAACTTATAATTCCAAATAAAATTCTTGTTTCTTTATTTTATTGGCTTTATTCCAAAGTTAAATATATTTTAACATTTATCGGCATTTATCTGACGTTTACATCCGTCAGATTTAATTTATAATTCCTAGCTTCTGTTTATTTAAAATATAATTTTTTTAAAAAAAATGAAATATGTTCGTATTTAACTGTTTATAAAAAGCAACAAATTATTCAAGTTTTTTGATTTTCTAACNAATAGTAATTACATTTTAATTATTTATTAATCTTACAGACTTCAAAATTTGTGTTAACAATTTTGATTGCACGAATAAAACAATACAAAGATACATAGAAATAAATTCTGTCGATTGTAATAATAATGGAAGACTCGAATGTGGAGATTATTTTTTAATTCATGCTCACGGGAAGGACGATTGTTACCATTCAGACATCGAAGAGACTCCTTCGTGGTTAAGGTTTCTCGAGTGTTACCTCAACCAAGTTTCTAAACCCCGGGATGTCTTAGAAAACTTGATTTTCAATAGAAACGTGTGACTTAAAAGTATTGTTTAATCTAAAAAAATAAATTAAATAGTATTATTTTGAAAAATAAAATAATTTTTGCGTACGTTTTGTATATATAAATAAATAAGATAAATTTTTAAAGCGAGAGTAGAGTATAAAGTTGATGTTCGGAAGTATAAAAGCGCTGTTGAAGTGTAAGAAAAGATGAAAAATGGAATAATTTATCTCACTCCGGAGCAGTTGTATGAGATAAAATAGTTCAATAGTTTATCAGAATGAAGAAAATACAGAAAATAGAATTTCACAATCAAAGAAAATAGCTATAACTCTCCAGTTGAGAGCTTTTGGTTGTAGAAGTATAAGTGGGTATCTATTGTGAGTATCTTTTTTCTATTGAATGAACTTGTCAATACGAAGACAGGTAGGACAAATTCTCAACCGAGTTCTTTAAATGGAAACGTGTCGTGGAAGAGTGTTTCACATTAATTTACTTTACCACAACAATAAGAAAGTTAGAGAAGTTACATAAAAAATTAATCTTAAAAGGTTGTAATTAAAAAATCAAATTTTTATTAAGTAATTAAGTTTTATTGAATTAAAATATTTTCAAAATTAAAATAACTTTTTAAAATTATTTAATAGTGTAAGCTCGAATCGACCACTAGAGGGCTACTTTATAATTAGCCCTCTAACGGTTATTACAAATTTTAATTACAGATACATATTCCACAGATATTTTACACAGGGACTATACTTTGTTACGTGTTCGAGAAGATTTAAATGATAAGAAAATTTAGAGTTAGAATTAAGAAACGTTATGAAAAGTTTTTAAAAATAAGAAATATTTCAAATTTACAATTATCCTTTTTCTTCCTGTAATGATTCGTGGAACCTTTCACCGTGCCTGTTATAAGCCGGGCCTACAACCAGTTAGTTCGACACATTCAAATTAAACTATCTACGAAATTTTTATGCGCCGACGGAAATCGAACCTGAATCTCCAGGATGACAAACACGTGTCATTATTGTCTCAGTCATCAAGATGTATGCATCAGATCAATCAGATATTTTTTAAGATAAAAATATTTCCAAAATTAATTTATCTTTAAGGTAACTTCAAGAATGCAGTTTGCAACTCACTGTTTGAAGAATACTGATTTAATTAGTCAAAGATAATTACATCCTTTCAGAATAATCACAGTTTCATAGATTGTTTTTTGTGATACAAATTTTAAGTTATAAATGAAAAATATACAGTATACTCTTGCTAGTCGGCCTCTCAATTACCAGGCATATTTTCAGTGCGATCGCCTGTGCACTTCCGTTTCTATGAAAATGTAAGTCATTGCCTTTAGACCTATATTCTCATGCACTTTCGTTAATCTGCCACCTTTCTGTGGAATGAATGCACGGCTTTTCAAAAGTCTAGTGTACAGTACATGTTTCAAAATTCAAATTTATGCGAACACCATATGATCTCTAGCTGTAGATGACAAATACAGTATCGATTTACAATATCAATAATATACCGTTTATCTTATTATTCATGAAAATACCCAAATATTTTTATGAAAGAAAAACAAATATTTATTTTAAAGTTAAAAAAAAAGACATTTATTTTCAAGACAAATATTTTTTCTTCTTCTGAATAAATATTTTTAGTTAAAATTTCGTTCANTTTTTCATCAATACAAATCGTAAAAGACATTACACCGTGGGCATCACCAGACTGTCAAAAGTGTCTTCCTAACAAAAGAGTTTAAGAACCATATTCAGATGAAGTATATAATTAATATATTCTTAATAAATTTTTATTATAAATTTACTTAAAATTTTTCAATCTTGACTATGTTGAAGAGCTTACTGTACATAAAAGATGTTAAAAATCACATTAATTTCTATCTTTGTCTAAGCGTTTGATAGAATAAATAATGAGAAAATAAGTATTTAAGTATATTTCAATGTTGTTAATTAATTCGAGATTGTCACAATATGCATATTGTAAATAAGTAATTAAAAAGTTTTGAATGACTGTAAAGAAAATCAGAAAATTTTGAAAAGTTATGATTTCGAGAAATTCATCTTAAGATAGAGAAAGAGAACAATGATGTTAAATGAGTTTATTCTATCTTTCAAGAGTAATTTATCTTGTAACTAGTCATACAATCGTTTATATCATTCAAATTATAAACAATACTCTCGTTTATAGTTATTACTGAATCTTGAAAAATCGATTTCCTTATTATTACTTGTTTTAGATTACATGAATCTTATTTTTCATACCAATAAATACAAATATAAAAATTAAGATTGTTATGCAGTTAACTAAGCACTTCTTTTAAGGACTTCTTAATATACAGGGGAAGTGCAAAAGTAGGTATACAATTATTACTATAAAAAACATAGAAAAAAAAAGACATTTATTTTTAAGACTAATATTTTTTCTTCTTCTGAATAAATATTTTTAGTTAAAATTTCGTTCAATGCGTTTTTTATTAACTTTATTATTTTCAGTAAGTTAAAATGCTTTTTTTTTCTAGTGAAGTGATATTTAATGCATTGTGACTTTGTCACGTTAGAGTGTATTATTCAATGATAATTTATTAACTAAGAACTCAAGTTTGGTGTACAGTACAGTAAGAGAAGGGGACATTACTTTTTGAATCTGCATAGTAAATACATCTAACTTATCCGATAAAAAAAAAAAACAATATTACATTTTTTCAAGACATTGTTTACACTTCCGTTTACTATTTTCTGCATTTTTACTTTTACGGCTGTTACATATAACAGAGGGAAATTATGACGATCGGTCAAAATTGATCCCTCAAGATTTTTACATTTTTGGACTTAGAACATCGTGAAACGTCGAGCAATGCGAGAAAATTGGGGGGGGGGTTAATTTCTGTATGTATACATGTTTGTGTGTGGGGGGTGCACGATTTTGTTCACCCTGTTTGAAGCATAATAACCCCTGTGCTTTTTGTCGAAAATTTCTGAAATTTTGCAAGGAGGTTCGTTTATTACGGGGATTTAGGCTATTAAATTTTGGTGGTTAAAGATCGTAGAGTGGGGAGATGAGGGTCGTGTGTATCTTCAGTAGGGTCGGACGTAATGACGAGTTTACTGTTTATTGGCATTTATAATTTTTTATAAAATTTATCCCTACCTTTAAAGTTAAGCATTTTGCCATTTTATAATAATTAAAAATATAAACATGTTAAAAATAAACTATGAAAATAGATGGCGCTACCAAAATTTTAAGTGTTGCCGGGAAAGTTGAGCAACTCATTGCTCGTTTATTCTGTTGGAGTTTGAGATGTATTGTAATCAATGTATATTTCAGATAACAAAAAAGCTAGAAAATTCTTTTTGAACAAACAATTTTCTTGTATTTTTCGATGCAAAGAATAAAGAAGCTAACCTTCACCTGCATTTTACGACTTGTAGAAGAAGCAAAAAGAGATTTTATTTGCAAAAAGAGACGTTCTTCAAGAAAACAAACATTTGTAATCATTTGTGAAACCCACTAGTGACCGATTGGATAAAACCACCCAACACTGGTGGTTGGTCGTATATTCGCTCTTCAGATGCAGCTTTCTGGTTTTTCACGTATATAATATTTTAATAGGAGCCAGTTTCCTACAAAAGTCTTCCTATTGTAGATCTCCCTCTTGGCAGATAGCCCAAACGTTGAGTTGCTTTATTCTGTCAATTCAATCATTCCTCGTCTGTTCGCAGTCTGTTCCTGAGTACACGTGAATAATGGCTGCTCTTCGATGATACTATTTAAAATTTCAAACATTCGGTTAGGCTTTAACACAACTTTAAATTTACATTATGTATAGTATAAACAAATCATTAATTTAGATATAGAAAAACTGGTCACAGGTACTGTATATCTCATGCCATGGTTTTTACAGAAGTATTTTTCTTTAGCCGTCAGTTTATAACAGCTTCCATTGTCAGGATTGTTGCGGCTGTTAAAATTTTGCAAAGCTAGTCGCTGACATCTACTTTTCAAAGTGCTAAATAAGAAACAAGAAAAAAGTAAGCACGCTAGAATCATATTCACTTCTTAAACAAATGGTTTTAGCCTTATTTTACATTAAAACCAATTGTTTTAAATTGATAAAAACTAGGTATTAATTAAACTTCATGCTTACAATATGAAAAATTAATATCAATTATGCGGATTTTGTTAAAAATGTAATGTACAAGATAAAAAGTAATTTAATAAGTTAGTGTTATAAAGTCAATGAAGCAGGTAATGGATTCGGTTTATAAATAAATAATTAACTAACTTTCGTCTGGTATATTACTCACTATGCTTGTAAAAATGTTTAATTATTTTTAATTAAACATTTTTACAAGTTTAAAAAAGCATAAAAAGCGTGTTAAATATTTCGCGATTATCTTCATTATTACAAAATAAAAAAGGCTATTTAGTTAATTTCTTAAAAAGAATCTTCTTAAGAACACTTTATGAAGCTAATTATAAGTTAATTGAAAACAGATAGCACGAGGGCAGATGGTTTTCTAGAGAAAACAATTTGCCCTCGTGTAAATTGGGAAGGAAAATTTGTAAAAATTATACTTTATTAATAAATACAACATAAAATATTCAGAATAAACGTTATAAAAATTAATTTTTTTAAAATTTGAAATTATTTAAATAATCAATTTTAAGGCGCTCCGATCTTAATCAAAATGTTTTTCTCAACATTAAATTACTTCCTAAGTGAAATGGCTTAAAATTGTCTCGCAATGGTCCTTTAATTGACTGGGAGTCATAAACTACATTTTTAAATAATAAGTCATCTAATACTTTAAAAAAAGTATTCGAAAAGTTAAAGAGAAATTTATTATATAAATAACAAATCTCTCTTTCTTACATAAATGAAAATAAGTTCAGACATGTTTTTCATTTACATACATTCATATACGAACTGTTGTAATGATTGAAAATAAGCTTAATTTACTTTACATAAAATTAAATCGAGTGAGAAGACGTATATAATTTTTCATTAAAAAAATAAACTATATTCAAACCTGATTACAGAAGATTCGTATAATATCTTCTACAAATTAATTGTTTTAATTAACTGTTAGATATACGCTGAACAAATGTTTTAATTTGCATAATACAGTATCTAGTAAATTTTAAAATTATAAATAATTCAAGTAGGAGCATTTTGTGATGAGTATAGGCCTACATTTAAAGCGATTCATTCCCTCTGATTTATGTAAATTAAAGTATAAAGAAAGAATACAGTATCTGAAAATCTGTTCAGTATGATTCGTGTTAAATTTTCAGGTTATAAGAAATAATTTTGTTTTTAAAAATAAAATTAAAAAATCAAGTTTTTGTTGGTCATGTTGACATGGGGATGGGAGATGGAATGGAAGGGGTAGACAACCCCAACATACGCATCACTACAGTGCATTTACACACATCGAGATTTAATTTTACATTTGG